GTTAGCCAATATTGAAAAGATGTTACATATACATAAAGGGGACTTTACCGTAAACCTAGTAAAATGCTACTATTAAAAATAAAATAATTTTAAAATTGTAAACTCTCAAGGATGAAAAGAACAGAAGAGACAAGACCAAAATATGTACAAAATTACAAGTAAATAAATGAGTGATAAACTGACTTGGCAGGATGGAGAAAATTGAAACCCAAAGCCATCTAGAAGCAATCTGATTCAAAAGAAGGATTTGGTGGTATCAAGTACTTTCTAAAGTATAAGGACAATATATAGAGCTAAAAATAGGAGGATTCATTGGCAGTCTAGAGGGAGAGAAGTAAGACTCAGTTCACTTTCCCACCCTGCATAGCCAATCAACTACCTTCCTACACACCCCAGTGGGAAAATGGAGGTTTGATTTCTGAAAAAGATTGAACCCAAAAAGCTTTGAACTCTGAACTGCCTAATGTCCTGGGGCAAGAAGGAAGGTGCCTTAGCAAAAACACGTGAAAGTAGAGCATACCAACACAAAGTTCTCCCACTGTTTTTTCCTACTTGAATCCCAAAATGAGATCCAGATTATCCTATCCCTACAGATAAAAGATTGGAGGACTGATTCCCTCTGGGGAAAAAATGATCCTAGCAGAGAGAGCTGTTGGACTGACGTGTCCCCCATGGAAAGGCTGAGTTTCTGTCCACTCATTGTATGGTGAGCCCCTGCCCCCGCAGCGGCTCACCAAGCACTGCCTATGCGGAGGCTATCTTAACAGCTTTTTAGAGTCTCAGTTTCACTTGTAAAGGTGAACTGATAATCAAAGATTATGGGACATTAAAGAAAGCCTCCAATATTTTTTTAAAAGTCTGAAACAAAACAAAAAAGAAGAAACAAACCCAGAAGGTAACAGAAAATGAAGGAAGAGGAGCCAAAATCATAACAAAATAATAACAGAAGGAGAAAATTATCAGAATTAGGCAATGAGAGTTTTCATATTGAAAGGACTTTCATTAAATAGGTGCCCAGCCCATTTAATGAAAAGAAAGTCAAACAATGAATGGAAAAAGACTCAAATAAGACTTCTCAATATGAATTTTCAGAACACTGAGGTTAAAGAAGAAAATCTGAAAAGCTTCCAGAGAAAAGAATTAGCTCACATATAAAGGATCAGGAATCAGACTGTTACCAGGCTTCTCAATTGCCATATGAAAAATTAAATGACAGTGAAACAATACTTTGAAAATACCTAAGGAAAATTATTTTCCCCTTGAATTATATACCTAGGCAAACTGTCATTCAAGTGTAAGAATAAAATAAAGGTGTCTTCAAATATTCAAGGTGTCAAAAAAAGTTACCTCCCATGTTACCATTTCCCAGAAAAATACTACAGGATACACTCTTCCAAGATGAGGCAGTAGATCAAGAAAGAAAAAGACAGGAAATCTAGGGAACAACAGCGTTATCACAGGTGAGAAGTAAACAAAATTTCCAGGATGATACTGAAGGAACCTTCTAGGAAAGTAGCAATGCAGCCGACTAGCCAGCACCCAGTTCAGGTTGAAGCAGAGGAGGTGGGAGCGTCAGGAAATATCTCTCAGAGTGAAATGGACTTGACCTACTATATGAAATATTTGATTACATTGAGAAGAGTTTTAAGGTTTTGTCAGAGTTTGAGGAATATCTAATTATAGTTACATAGAAAAACTCAATAGGTGGGGAAAATGGCAGTTATCATTTCCAGAAAAACAAAAAAGTACAAGAAAGAAATAATGCATTACATGGCTCAACAGTAAACAGTACTTATGTAGGCATGATGCAGTAAACACTAAATATTGATTTAGTTAAAAAAATGTGATACCAAATATATTGAGAGGATGGGAGGGGATGTGTATGGGAGGATGGAATCAAGTTCTCATATTCTTGTAGAAAGCCAGCAAATAATGCGTGGAAAAGGGGAGAAATGTGTGTGTGAGACAGGAATGATGTAAGTGGCCGACTTCTATCTTTCATGGTGGGAACATGGTGGATAATGTCTATAACTGGGGGTGTGGGGAGAAGAATAAGAAATATTAATATAAGCACATTATTTAGAAATAGGAAGGTAAAGAAGAAACAGCTAAAAGTGGTTGCCACTGAAGATCAGAGAACCACTGTTTTTTTAAATTATTATTATAACCTTATAGTAGTTTAGACTTGTTAAACAGTACTTGTGCTTTTTTTTCTTTTTTTTTTTTTTTGAGTTGGAGTCTCACTCTGTCGCCCAGGCTGGAGTGCAGTGGCCGCTCCCGGCCACCACAAGCTCGCCTGCTGGGCTCCAGCGATCCTTCCGCCTCAGCCTTCCAAGTAGCTGGAATTACAGGCATGCGCTACCACGCCCTGCTGATTTTTTTGATTTATTGTAGAGATGAGGTCTCGCTGCCCAGGCAGGTCTCGAACCCGCGGGCTCAGGCAATCCACTCACCTCAGCCTCCCAAAGGTGCGGGATTACAGGCTGAGCCACCAAGCCCGGCTTACTTGTGCTTTATTAATAAAAATTAAATTAATTGGTACCCCCCTTGGGTCCCTTCCTGCTCTGGGAGCTTTTCTGTCCTCTCAATAAATCCTGTTTTCCCGCCTTAAAAAAATTAAATTAATGTATGTGTTATCTATGCATTTCTTTTTTAGTTCTCTGTGTGGAAATTTAAAAGGGTGAGATAGTAGAATTTGGAGCTGTTCTCAAGAGATTCTAGCCTTGGCTTTGTCCTTTACCAGCTGTGTGACTTTGGGCAGGACACGTGCCTTTCTGGGTCTTAGTTTCTTCATTTATAAAGGGAAGGGCTGGAAAGATGACCTCCAGCGTCTCCTTAAGCTATAAAATCCTAAGAGTCTGTGATTTAAAAAATAATAATAGTGCTATGCAGCAAATGAAGAGTTAAGACATAAGAAATTCCCACATTTTCTTTCTTTTTGGTTAAAATCAGACTTGGAGAGAAGTTTTCATTGTGGTCTCTGACAAGAAGTCAACACCTACCTTCCATTGTGGAGCCTGAGGCAGGCAATTGTCTATGTACTGGCTCACAGACACATAGCTTGGTGTTATTTCAGCATTTTTTTTTAATATTTAATATTTTTCAGTATGAATCACAGGTGAAATTTCCATGCCATGTGTAAACAATTTCACTTTTTATTGAAACAATGAATTCAGGAATGTCATATTGGGATATCAGCCATTTTGCTTTTATCAATGTATGGAAAAAATGCGTTTATATTAAGACAAGAAATGATGTCATTTAATATGGGGTAGATCTTATAATTCAAGGTCAGCAAATCTCCGGAGGTGATTTAGGTCACAAGCTAGGTTTGAAAAAGAGAAAGAGTATTTTCCTTCCGTCTTCTCAAGTACTATTACCAATTTTCTCCTCAGACTTTGGAATAGATGGTGGAATAGCATGATTTGTGAGAAGGAGGCGCTAGCCAATAGAATCTTTCCTTTGAAACACATGACCCTGGAGAATGGCTGCCCCTTCCTGGGCTTCAGCTTCCCTATCTGCAAGAAGAAAGGAATGACTTAAATAATACTCAAGCTGCCTTTGAGTTTCAACATTGTATGTTTCTGCTCCTTACTTTATGTGTGTATTCATTCAGACCATTCAAGAGACCCAGTTGGGTTTGGGGTTTTTTTCTTAAAGACTGATGACTTTTTTGTTGGTAATGGTTTTATTTTTTAAGAGAGAAAGATATTTAAATGTTTGACTTACATTTAAGTGCAGAAAAAGTAAAACCTTATGACTGACAGCTCTTTACATGTGTACACCAGTGTACATTTTATAAAACTTACATACTTTCTTCATGTGGACTATGTCATTTGAAAAACATATTTTTGCAGGACTGTGCTGTCCACCTACTGTGTATTTGTGTGGATGAGCATGTGTAGGAATGTGCACATCCACTGGCCTCAGTTCCCCACTGTGGTCATTAAGGAAGCAAACGGTGGTAGTCAGAGACAGAGTGAAAGGAGGGAAGGAGCAGGCGGATGAAAACCATTAGTAAGTTACCCAAAGTATACAGATGCTTGATTTTAGGAAATTGGCCTCGGGCAGAAATAAGTCAAACAAAGGGCAGAGCTAGCCCACAAGCCAGCGGTTTCCTTATGCCAGCTCCCCAGCCATGCACTCTGGTCTGGATGAAGAGGAAAAATAGACACTAAAGAGAAATGTAGAGTACAGCCTCTGCCAAAAGTGACTTGCCGTGTATTTGTTTAATACACATTGATTGAGCACCCACACTGTGCAGACACCACTGGAATCAGAGATGGTTACAAGATGGTCCTTACCTTTGTCTGTACAAAGGGAAGGGAAGGACTAGTAAAGTATGGGAAACTCCCAGGATCTAAGATGAAATACTGGTCTTATGTAGATGTCCTTGGAATTGTTATTAGCTGACCAACCAGGGTCTGGGAGGAGAGAAGCTAGAAACAGAGGTCTTTGAAATATCCTGGTCCATCTCCTTCTAACTCTTAGTCTTCTCCAAGTTTAGGAGGCAAGAGAGAAGGATGAGAAGCCCTTTTTTTTTTTAAGTTGGGGTCTCATTGTTCGCCCAGGCCCAAGTGCAGTGTCATGGTCATGTTTCATCCCAGCCTTGACCTCCAGGGCTCAGGTGATCCTTTCTCCTTAGCCTCCCAGGTAACTGGGACTACAGGCATGCACCACCACACCTGGCAATTTTTTTTTGTGGAGATAGGGTCTTGCTGTGTTGCCTAAGCTGGTCTCGAACTCCTAGGCTCAGTGATCCTCCTGAAGAGGCTACTTTTAAATACTACCCCAGTTTAAGTGTATGTGCATATTCATACACATGCTAATCATACATCAAATACCCAGTAAATGGACAACACAGTGTGGTTGATAATAGGATCATATATTTATATTTCTTCTTTCAGAGTTTAAAATAACTTGTTTAGTGGTTCATTTGTCGGAAGTATTGCTTACTATCTGCCAAAATTTCTTTTAACTCTCTTCTTTCACCCTTGCAGCTAAGATATCAACATGGACTAGGGACTCCAGACTTGAGGCAAACCCTTCCAAACCTGAAAAACTTCATGGAGCATGGACTCTTGGTCAGGTGGTGAGTACCTCCATCTCTGATAACTGTGATGCAGATAAACATCCTGAGGGATTTTCTGAAACCTACCTCTAGGTTTCTTCTGTCATGAGATACCTGAAGAAAAGGAAGGGCAGCCATCGTGCTTGGGTAGATCTGAGTTCCTGTCCAGCTAAGGAGGAGGAAGCCCTCCCCGCAGGCCCCCCCCCCGCCACAAGGAGGGAGGAGGGGCCTAGTGGGTACTGTTTGAACACTAGGATGTTGGCTGAGTGCGGGATGCTTGAGGGTGTTGCTGAGACAGCGCCTAGAGGACAACCAGTGCGATCCACAGAGGGAGACACAGAGCCCCTGGGACTTCCTAGCACAAGCAAAGGACCTGATTATAGAATGAGCAGCAGGATCAGTGGCTACTAGGGTTAAGGGAGGAAAGCAGACAGGGCACAGGGGAGGTTGTCAGGACCTGGTCCGAGGCCAGGAAGTGCATCTCAAGTGTCCGTGCATTTGCTGTCAGTGCCTGTTGTACAGTAGGGCAAGCTGCTGTTTGAAGTGCTCTCTCAGGACAGATGTGACCCTTTTAAAAAGAGAAAGGACCGGGTTCAGTGGCTCAGCCTGTAATCCCATGCCTTTGGGAGGCTGAGATGAGTGAATTGCCTGAGCCCGCGGGTTCGAGACTCGCCTGGGCAGCGAGACCTCATCTCTACAATAAATCAAAAAATTAGCCGGGCGTGGGAGCAAGCGCCTGTAGTTCCAGCTACTTGGACGGCTGAGGCAGAAGGATCGCCGGAGCCCAGCAGGTCGAGGCTGCGGTGCTGGGAGCAGCCACTGCACTCCAGTCTGGGTGACAGAGTGAGACTCCAACTCAAAAAAAAAGGGAAAGGAAGAGGGGAGCCTGGTACAAAGAAGACATTGTATTGATTCACCTGACTTAAATCAGTGGAAAGCCATTTCTCTCTAGCCATTTAGTAACTCTTGAAGTCTGAATCATAGGGTGGTGGGCAAGAACTTACAAAATCACATGGATGAGAGCAGGTCTGTAGAGTTGCACAGCTGGGGCCATCTTCTGATCCCAGGTCTTTTCTAATCCACTGTGTCTTGCCTCTCTGAAATTTGATTTCATCATCTATAATCCCTGCCCTGTTCATCTCCCCGGTTTGTTGTGAGGATAAAGTGAGATGCTAGATGGGAAAACTACTTGTAGGGTGGACAGGACCATATTGGTTTTATTTCCTCCTGTGCCATAAGGAGATAGGCCTCGTAGATAAGAAGTGACATCTATGGTCAAACTTTACTTTGACATGTTTTATTTTTGTCCCATATGATTCTCAAAATATTAAGTTCCAAGTGTCTGATTTTAAATAGGATTCCTGTTAACCAAATACACAACTGTTTAAAGAATTCTACCCAAAATAATTATCACAGTTTGGTGTTGATATGGTCATGGATGTTTTCAAGAATACAAGAGAGAAGTTGAGTTTCAATGTAAAATAATAATGATGATGATAAAAATAAAATAATAATAAACTAGCAGACATGTATTTGGCATTGTCTCTGGGTAAAGCTCTGTCAGCACTCTGGAGGGTAACAAGAAGAATGAGACTCAAGTCCTGTCCCCCAAGGGCTTGAGTGGAAACAAGGGCTGGTTGGAAACAAGGCATATAAGTCATGAAGTTTTCTAATACAAATGATAAAGAACCTAAAATAATGAAAAAGATGACAACAGCACTACCTGTTTAACCTCTAAATAAGTCTTGGCCAGTATAGATAGCAAATTGTCCCTATTATCATTTATTGAAGGGTCTGTCTTTTCTCCACTTATGACGCCATCTCTTCCACATACCAAACTCCTTTATGCATACGGCTCTGCTTCCAGACTCCCTATTCTGCTGCATAATTTTATTTGTCTATCCATGGGCTAATACCCCATTTTTAATGATTAGGAGATGTAATTTCTACAAGTCTTGTTGAGACTTGAGGATGCTTAATAAATAGCATCTCTCTTCCCCACCCCCCCCAAAAATTAGAACTATTTGAGAGTGAGGATACAAGAGACCAGACTAACAAAATGTCAGTTTTATTACTGATAAAGCCACTTGGAACATGTGGCTTTAGATCTGTAATAACAAGGGCTTGCAGAGATATCACTCACAATTAAACCTGCCCTCATAATCCCAGTATGAACTGGAGAACCACAGGCTTTCCCGCAGAGCCCTTAACTACATTGGCAGAGAGTGACCAGTTGACTCCGGCAGGAACCAGTAGCACTAAGCCAAGAGTACCCAGTTTCTATTTTGCCAGCTAAACTTACCAGTCAGAAAAGTTCCTCCTCCTCTGAGAGAGAGTGGCAAGTGTCACTCCTCAGCCATCCGTGCTCCTTCACAGGAAGTGAAAAGGAGGAGACATCCAAGAGATTCTTGATATCTGGTAGCGAGATGCTCCTACCTAAGGTTCTTCAAAACTCTTGGCTTTTCTTGGCTGGTGAGTCTTACTTGAGTGATTTGACTGTTTTATGATATTGAGTCTTGCTAACTAGGAAATGGTATCTCTTTATTTATTTTCTTCCTTTTTTTTTAATAAACCTCCATGAAGTTTATAAATTTCTTCATAAAGATCTTATGTATCTTGTATTAGATATACTCAGTCCTGGTAGCTTACAGTTTGGGTTGCTGTTATACATTTTTAAAATTTCAATATTTAACTTTTTTGTTGCTTGTATACAGGAATGCCATGATTTTTTTTATGTCTTGAGAGTGTATCCAGCAACCTTGCTAACATTAATTACAATAGTTTGTTTAGATTCTCCTGTATTTTTTGTGTATACAGTCATATCTTTAGTGAATGATAGGGTTGCTTCTATTTTTACAACTTTTATTACTTTTTCTTGTCTAATTATGTTTTATTATGGAATAGGAGCAGTGCTAGTTGACCATCTGTGTCTTATTCCTGTCTTTAAAAGAGAATGCATTTAATTTTTCTCCATTAATATATTTATTGCAGGTTTGGGTAGATATTCTTTATTAGCAAGGGGAAGAGTCTGTTCCTAGCTTACTAAGAGTTGTTTTTAAATCATGAATGTGTGTATTTTGAATTTTGTCAAATGCTTATTCTTAATCTATTGAGATAAGACAATATTTTCCCCTTGAATGTGTTAATTTATTACTTTCAATACATTTTCTAGTGTTAAACCATCCTTGTCTCCTTGGGTAAATTCTACTTGGTAATGATGTATTACTTTTTTCCTACATTTTTGGATTAATTTGCTGATTTTTTTTTTTTTAGAATGGCTATATCTATAAACTGAAATGAGAATGGCCTACAATTTTTTCTTCTCATAAAATTTGTCTGATTTGGGTTATAACATGGCCAAGCCTGATGAGGTTATAACAACCCCATAAAATAACTTGAGCTTTCCCTTCTTTTCTATTCTCTGAAACAATTTATATAAGATAGGAATTATCTGTACCTTGAAGGTCTGATAGGACTTAGCAGAAACGTAGTGTTTTTTATCTATTGAGGGTAAGAGTGTAAATTCTTAACTATTAATTTAATTTCTTTAATGATTACTGGTCTATTTATGCTGTTTTTTCAATTCCTCATTAACTCACTTTAGTCTCATTTTCACTTGTGTCAGAATACGGAAATTCCTTTCAGCTAGCTAAATGCCTGCTGAATTCTAAACACAGACCCAAAAGTAACTCTTCTGTCTTATGCTACTTGGCACCGCAGTGGCATCCCTGCTTTCTTAAACCTTCTCCTAGGTTGGCCCCCTCCATGCTACCCTCCCAGCCTTCCTCCTTGGCTGCTCTTTGTCTTTTGTGTGTTTCTCCTCCTCTGCTTGATCATTGAGTGCTGGAGCTCTCCAGATCCCACTCAGTCCTCCTCTCTTTTCCTCTGTCTGCTCTCTTCTTACATGTTCTCATCCATCCCCATCGTTTTGAAAACCATCTACATGTGTATGATTCCCAAGCTTTTGTTTTCAGCATAAACCTCTCCTACTGACTTACAGTCTCGCAGGCATCTCAGCTTTGACATAACCTAAAACTGTCCTTCCACCAGTTTCCCATCTTTCAGCAAATGGTACCCCATCTCCCTGGTCACTCAGACTGGGGGATCATCCCTGATTCCTGTCTTTTCTTGATTCCCACCAGATCTAATCTAATTCATCAGAAAACCCTGTCACCACTCCCTGCAAAATATATACAATCTGGCCACTTTCTTGTTTCTGTAACTGTCGCCCTGGTCCAAGCCACCACCTTTTCTTACCCAAACATCTGTGCCAGTACAGCTTGTCTCCCTGAATTCACTCTTGTTCTGCCACTGTTCATTCTCCATAGTAGCCAGAGTGATCCTTTTAAGTGTCAGCTGTATCTTAATCACTCTCCAGCTTCAGTGGCTGTTAGAAAAGCCAAGTGCTTCTCCATGGGCTCCCTGGCCCCACCTCATCTGATGCTCGCTCTTCTGGCCTCCATGAGTTGTGTGAACGAGCTCTACCTGTGTGAGCCTTCACTCTCACTGTTCCTTATGCCCAGAGTGTGCTCTCCCTGCTCCTTTTCCCCTACGGCCATACCCTCCCCCCAACCCTCTCACAGAGTGAGCCGTTCAAGAAAAGGCACAGCAGCTTAGCTGGCAAGGAATAGACCACCTTGGCTGGAATGCACGTTCATTTTAGAAATAGGGAGAATCTGGGTTTTATGATTCTTTGGCAATCCTTTTAAAGAAAAAAAAGGCCAGGCTCAGTGGCTCAGCCTGTAATCCCAGCACTTTGGGTGGCCTATGTGAGTGGATTGCCTGCACCTGAGGGTTCGAGACCAGCCTGGGCAACTTGGCGAGAGCTTGTCTCTACAATAAATAAAAAATTAGCCGGGCATGGTAGCAAAATAAAATAAAGGAAAACAATACAAAATTAGAAAAGAAAGCATTTGAAATGAGAAACAAATCACAACAAATTATTGGAGCCTAGGCCGAACATGGTTGCTCATGGCGGCTGTAATCCCAGCACTCTGGGAGGCTGAGATGAGAGGATTTTT